ACAACTTACTACAAAAATGCATTTTTGGTTGGATGCACATGCATCTTGAGTGGTGAGAACCAAAAATGCGCATTGAAACAAGAATGCATCTTTGTAGTGAGTAAGTTGTTTTGTCCGTATATAAATATATATCTCTATCTATCTATCTATCTATCTATCTATCTATCTATCTATATATATATATATATATAAGAAAGGAATGGATTTTTATGTATTAATTCAACAGAATTTATTACTTAAATATTATTTTTAGTGGGTATTTGTATTTGAATAGATGTTTTATTTATTTATTAAACAGTATATTTATTTATTTCCATCTTATTAGAGAAAATATGTGCTCTCAAGCAGGATTCAAACCTGTGTTCCCCTAAGGGAAACTGTCATTAGATCTGATGTGCTTTGAATCTCTCAGCGACAGAGTGCATCAAAAGTCGAGCAAAGTTGAACAGTTTCTTTAAACATAAATTTTTCTCTTGACTCTCAATGTTTAAAGGCACTTTTCAACTTTGCTTGACCATTGATGCATATATAATGAATAATAATGGACTTTCCTGTTGTTTTTGACATATGAGGATTCAGTGGCATTTTCTGTCCTTGATGTCCTAATTGTTTATGCCTTTAATGACATTTCTGGTTTTTGAACCTGGTATGATATGATTTTTGTATGCCATTATAAGTTGTTATTAATATTTCTTTTAACATTGACACACCCTCCTTGCTTTCGCCTTGACATGGATCATTGTGAAAATAGGTCAGTTGTCTAACATAAACAGGAACTACTTCCTTTAAGTTCAATAAAATTATATTTTGGCCTTTTGAAATTACTGGACATTTCTGGTATTATATTCAGTTTTACCATTTCTGGATTCTTGTCTAAAAATTTCAGTTTTTTTTCTTTTCTTTCATAGTATCACATAAGATCCACATGGGATAAACTTGAGGTATTTGAGAACTGAAAATACAAACCTTCCTCTATAAATCTTGCTAACGTTAAATTTCTATAATTCTTCTATTTACCATTCCTTCCCTCAGCACTGAATAGCAGTGCTTCAAACAATTCTTGCATCAAAATTAAGTTTTAAAATCTTGTTTGTACTTACCATGAATATATAAACTTGCTTTTTAATCTACTGATAAACGTGTAGATAATTACAAATCTTGAACATTTCATTTCATTTTTATTCATTCACTCTGATAAGAGGAACTCGGTCAATCTATTTCCATGAGCTGCATTTTGTATGTCAAAATGTTTCAGTTTTGACCACACTTGACATTTGACGGAGAAGAGGCGTATGATAATTTTGCAACAATATGTGCTTAAAGGATTTAAACAGTTTTGATCAACATTTCATGGTTAGCCACAAGGAATTGTAAATGTAGGACTACCTTACACTTGAATAAAATAATAATGATAATTATTAATATTTATTAAGAATTTCTTACAGGAGATATCAAGTTTTATGGAAACATTGTTCACAATTATATATTTAGTTACATAACAAATAGATAAAAATAATATAAATTTTGATGGTATGTTCCATTTATTGTGAGGTATTTTTAATTTTCTCCTTTGTTATTGGTAGCATTTTAGAATACTGCAACACTAAGTTTCCTAAATTGAACATACTGGAACTATTTTGTTTATGCTTTGTTACCTCTCTTTTCCATTGTTGCTTTTAGATCACTTTCTTCCAGTCATTTTGATGGGCAATAACGAAATTCTGAAATTTAGAAGGATCTTATTCCATTTTAAAAATAAAGCCCGTAAAAAGGAATATTTTAGTTTAATATATTAGTTTGGTCTATACTATATTCAATTTGTTGTTAGGTAATTTTCATTTTCTTTTTTGTTATTGGCAGTATTTCAGAATACTTTGTCTGCAATGCTAAGTTTCCTAAGTTGAACAAACTGGAACTATTTCGTTTACACATTTTTACCTGTCTTTTCCATTGTTTTTAGATCGCTTTCTTCCAGTCATTTTGATGGGCAATGGTGAAATTCTGAAATTTAGAATGATCTTATTCCATTTCAAAAAATAAAGCCTGTAAAGGAATATTTTAAATCAATATAGGACCAAAAATAAAATGGCTTTGACAAAAAACCTGAATGATTTCACTATAATTATGTAACAATAATCTAATGATATTCTGCAGACAAATCTCCGGTTTATTTTGCCTCATCTCATTGCATGGTTATGAACTATAAACCTAAACTGAGCTTGAAATATTGTGTAATCAGCTCTAATTTTTTGTTAAATACTTGGATATGATATAATGAATAATTTGCAGTGAAAAAAACAATTTTTGGTTTTTTGTTTAATACGCCACTTCTCTGCCGAATGCTTCATTTATCATTTTTAGAGATTTTTTTTATTTTTATTACAATGATGTTCACCTTTTACAAGGCCTAAGAGTTACTTTAGGTAGAGGCTTACATAGTAAGAGGCATGGTTGATGTGGATATATATGGGGCAGATAACAATTGACCCTACACTTGAACAGATTTGTAGTGATCAAGAAAGCATCCTCTTCGGAGTCAGATCCACAGTTATTACTCTAAAAATATTTGTTTACTTTATTTAATTCAACCTTTATAATATTCCTTAGAAACAGTAAATTTAAAGTAATATAAATACTACTAAACCAGATATTTTGTGAGTAGGTATAACTGTATAATTTGGTAAAACTCATTAACAGACTTCAAGGATGAAAATATTTTTCTCTTCAATAAAAACTCTCTCTCTCTCTATATATATATATATATATATATATATATATATATATATATATATATATATATATATATATATATTTTTGTATTTGTAGTCACCCAAGTGTTTATCATTGTTAATGTTTACCATTGAAAGTGGTTTAGAACTTTGTTCCTTTCACTCTGATTATTGCATACACATTTATATTGTTGGAGAATGGAAACAAAAGAAACCAGCTGTCAAAGAAATCAAGGAACCACCATTTGTCTTTCTTCAAAGATGGCTTTACTTTCTTAGTTTGCAGGTTCTTTCCTTTATTTGTAGGAATTGTGTCAAATCACCTGTCAAGGTTTATTTTTCATCAGGCATATTTATTTAACTTTTGATTCTCATTTGATAAATTCTTAGTTTATTGTCATTTAGCATTAACTGTGAAAGAAATAGACTTTCTTGAATTTCATCCAAACTTGTTTATTTGTAGTCAAAAAAACAATTCTGAATAATCAGTGCTGTTGAAATACGATACATTTCTGTAATATTCTGTTAAAATTAATATATTTATTTATTTATATTAGTTTAAAATAGATTCTATATTTGGATAAAGCTACTTTAATATTTTAACAGAGGGGAAATGAATAAACCTTATCAACATTGATGTGTTCCTAAAACTAAATTTTTCTTACTGTGTTTTTTCTCCTTAATAACTTCAAACATAGAATAGTGAACTAAAATTTCACTGTAGCAAAAGTTTATAGAAATTAAACACAATATTCATAATTAAATCTAGGTTTTATTTTTTTTACAGTACTCATTTTAATCCCTAATGTGGGCACTGTCAGATTATATTATGCAAATCAATGATTCCATCAAAAACATTAGTCAATGGTTTTTGGTAAAATGTTCAGGATATATTTATATGATAAATATACAATGTGAATTTCAAATTATGTTTTTATTGAAATATTTACTATATTAGCTTATTTGGTGGTCTCAGATTTTATGCAACTCAGTTTATAATATTGTGAATAAATTGAATGAATATGTAAATACTATAGGTATGGATCTACCACTTTGTCCCCAGATCCTCAACCTCTGGCGTCTTCCTCTTGGTCCGAACTGAACTTAGGGGTAACTGGCTGTATGCTACCTGAGTACCTATAGATATGATATGACGCAAACGTCATACCCACTGGACTAATGTGTCTCAGTGACAGAGAGGTAATAAACCTGACTCAATAGAGTGCTAGCTCTTCTCTTTGTTACCTCTCTGTCACCAAGACCTATTGGTCCAGTGGGTATGACATTTGCGTCATATCGTAATGATTCTTGCTAGTGGTTGCACACTGCTGATGAGTCCCCAAAATAGGATGAAACAGCCATCTAGTGCTTTCTGCATTCTGTTGAGGATTCTTCTAGACTTGATGAATTAATTATGATGTATGCGGGAGTGTGTGCGTGTGTGTGTCATGGGTTAAAAAAAACTATGACCTCAAGAGATACAAGATATTGTAAAATTATTTTGTGATATGAACAAAATGCTGGAAACTAAAAACAGAAAGAAACGAGATCAACTAAAAAAGAGATTGATAAATATAGATTATAGATAACATTAGCTAATGAAATGAAATCCATCAAAACACTTACTTTTAATTACACAGATCAGTTTATGATGTTCGGGCAGAGAAATGTATGTAAACAGATCTCTTAACAGTAATTTTTAATGATGAATGTAGAGCTACATTGGATGGAACTGATATGATGGGCTAGAAGTTGAATCATACATGGAAATAGTGAAACAGCATAGGAGACAAGAGGGAGATGGAACAATGTATTGTATGCAATAAAATTATAGATTCCCTCAAAGTTAATGGTATTAAATATAACTGTAGAGGATTATTTGAACTTGAACAAGATGTTTTCTAACTAGTATTTCAAAGATACTAAATTATTTTTCTCCAGATATTCCTCCACTAGTAACCTTGTGTTCTATCACTAAAAAGAAAGATTTATACAAGAATGAAAACTATATTCAAGAAAATTGGGAAACAATAAAAACTGCTGCAAGTAAAGTTTGTCAAATCGATAAAGTTAATGGTTGAAACTCTGAAGGTTATAGAATAGTGATTTTCCAAGCATAACTTAGATGTTGCACAAGGCTGAAAGTATGGGGCACCCAGTGAGGATTGAACTCACTACTTGGTCGTAATTGTTCTAGCAAGACAAACTTGCTAACCATTTCACCACCTGGAGGTGACCAATAAAGTAGTTTACCCCAGTAGTAGAAGTCTGCTTACAGTACCAGGTGTTCCCAAGCAGTCTCTCGTCTAAGTACTGACCTGGCTCTATGATACTTAACTTCGGTGATCAAACTAGAACCGCTGTGTTCATTATGATTTGACTGTAAGCCTGAAGGTTATAGAATATCAACTAGCTCATATTATCGTGTAAGTGATAAAATAATTTATTCAGATGTATGGACTATTGTGTTAATCAAATGTTTTTATAGTCTGTATCTTTTGAATTTATAAATAATTGATGTTGCACATTCTCTAATAAAATATGATACACACAAAAAAATGTTATGAATGTTTTTTTATAAGGATAAGTATTGTAAGCTGAAATTCAGACAATATATTTCTCATATAAATATATTCTGAATATTTTACCAGCATTGATTTGGTTAATATTAATTTTATTATGAGAATATTGATGGACATGAAAAAATCTGACAGTGTCTTTGCTGTTTTTGCCACAAAATTGTAAGCATAGGGAAAACTGTCTTGCAATTGCAGTAAAATAACCAAAAGTGAAGTAATGTTTTCTCTTTCTCTTGGCCTCTCTTCTCTTTCTCTTGGCCTCTCTTCTCTTTCTCTTGGCCTCTCTTCTCTTTCTCTTTGCCTCTCTTCTCTTTCTCTTTGCCTCTCTTCTCTTTCTCTTGGCCTCTCTTCTCTCTCTCTTGGCCTCTCTTCTCTCTCTCTTGGCCTCTCTTCTCTCTCTCTTGGCCTCTCTTCTCTCTCTTTGCCTAATATAAAACAACTGAATGCTACCTATCAAAATGCATAAGAATTGCTACAATTTAATGTGTTTTTAATTTTTTGCCAGAAAATGTCCTCAGTAGATAACCAGAGTGACAATCTATAAATTAAATGTTTACTAATTAATTTAAACTTATCACTCTAGATAATTAGTTGTTGGTAGAGGGAAGGCAAGATGTCAGAAGTGATGATTTAAAAAAAAAAAAAAAAACTAACCTTAGAAGTAAAACTTTTCTAACGTAGGTGATATCTTTTTTATATATTTTTTAAAATCCATAAATATCAATTGGCAGAATCTGGAGAGAGAAAAAAAAACTGATCATGATTATTATATTTGTTATGAATAAGTACCAGATTGCCTGCTAAAAGAAAGCATTTTTCTAGAATTTGAGGCTTACAGCCATATCATGTTCAAACACCAGTTCTTATGTAACCACTCAAGTTAAGCAACATTGAGCCTGGTCTGTACCTAGATGTCTGACCACTTGTATATACTTGCATCTATTGGTCTAGAAAATTAGTAAACATTTTATGCATAATAGGGAAATTTAGCATACATGTGATATAACTTACATTGACTCTTCACCTCCTCATCATATCCCATTGAAACACTGGTTCTTGCAAGATTACAAAAGTTAAGCAATGTTCAGCATGGTCATTATCTACATGGGTGATTGTTTAGGAATATTTAGGTGCTGTAAGCTGGATGTGCAGGTGGGGTAATGGATAACAACTTGGAAATTGGACAACTGAGTTCCAATTCAAGTCAAGTTCTTTATATTCACTTATGTTCAAATTCCCTTGAGAAAGATAATAATCCACCTCATCTCCCTCCAGTTATGGGTTAATAAGCAGGACTTGTATCAGTAAATCATTGTTTTCTAAAAATATTTTCTGGCTTTAAATAACCTGCAAAAGGTTAAGCCATAAAAAAAAGATGAATCAGTTAAAAGAAAAAGGCAACAACTAAATTAAATTGAAATTTCTTTGAATATTTTATATTGATGCAAGAAAGATTGAAAAATTATATGTAAGCTTACCAAATATTTTTTTTATTTTTATTTTACTGTCATCTGTTTCTAACAAATAATCATCCATTTTTTTTTCTCTTTTGTTTGCAACAATATTTTGGATTTTAATCTTTTTTTTCCTTTTTTCTTTGTTCAGCCATTTCAATGTGACATTGTCAGTAAAATCCTCTTTTAATTTTTACTTTCTGAAAGGACAATTTTTGAGACTGGTAAGACATTTTAACAATTTGATTGTTTTTTTGAATAAATAATGATTTGCCCATGGCATCGTGTCCATTGAGTGCATTTATAAAAGCAGATTGGTTTTAAATGTAATTCTTTATAAATTAAGCTGGAATAGGAATCAATACTTCCTTGCTTCCCTCACAATTTGTTGTTGGCATGTTGATAATATTGATTTCTAGAGTTAAATGAGTAAGGAAGGCATAGAGGTTTGTTGATCTTTTAAGTTAGTGTAAAATTCTGTTAAACTTGTCTATTGTTGATATAACTATGTAATGATAATGAGACAAAATGGAAAAGTTTGTTCAGATAACGTTTTGTGTATCTTTTAGCCAGAATTAGAAACAAACCTATGTGTAAGGAAAATGTGTTGGGAGAGGTAATAAATATTCTTATCAGATTTTTTTTTTTTTTTTAATGAAAAAAAAAAGTTATCTTGTATTCAAACTATTGAAGAATTGAAAAGCCAAATTTGAAATCCAGTTGTGTTCATTACATTCACTTATGTGTTAATACGTTTGGAAATGTCTCTTCTCCTCCCCAGCTATAGGTAAATAGCAGGACAGATTGTCCTTTAGTCTTGGTTGCCAACTAATCTAGAAGAAGGAAAAAAACCCTGAATTCAAACCATCCTGGAGGTGGGTTGGGCTCCGTCAGGCTATCTTGTCCAGAACACACTACTGTTACGTTAGTTTCAATACATATGTGCCCCAGCAACCCTAATGGGTTATGGGACTTGTCTCAGGGTAGACCTTTTTTTTTTTTTTTGTTCATTTGTATACTGCATTGAGAAAAAGAATAGTAATCTCTTCAGAGTGGGCTAATTTCAAATCCAGCAGACATTAACCAGCTCCAATACAGAGTTGTGAGACTTTCTAGCTATAGCATTTGATAAAGATATTTTTTCCCTAAAATTCCAACGCTCTTCCTTTATATACGACTTTATCTCTCACTCTGACCTGAAGAGGCTTACCATAAAGTAGGGGGGAGAAACATGTTGTCTGAAGAAGCTTTTCTACTTGCCTCATTATCTCTACATTTGTCAAGACATTATTCTGCATCTTCTTAACACCCCCTACATTTAAGTATATAGAAAGATTCCCTGTCTTAGTGTTGTACTTTGAACCTGACTGAATATGAAAGAGATAGGGGAAAAAAAAAAAAAAAATTTCAGTACAACAAAAAAGACCATATGAAAACTTATTTGAGTTTTTATGTGAAGTACAAGGGGCAGCAAAAATAACTCCCTTTTTTCTTTTTATTTAACTTTTATTAAACAAAAATAAATTACAGTAGATTAAGAAAATCTATTAGTATTGTCAGATCAAAACAATGATTTGTTATGATTATTAACCTATTTAACATGTTCAAAATGCTCCCCTTCATATTCAATACAGTACTGAACCCTGTCAGAAACATTTCTACAAACCATTTGACACATTTTTACATTAATTTTAGAAAATTCATCAGAAATTGTTTTTAATTCAGAAATTGATTTTGGTTTAAGACTGTAAATAAGTTTTTTTCAGTAACCCTCTGTGCCTAGGAAAAAGTTTGGTGTTAGGTCTGGTGATCGTAATAGCCATTCAATTGCTCCATGTTGTTGTATCCACCTCAGCTTAAAGGCATTACTTCTGTCACACCTTGTAATTTAATTTGTTTTTTCTTCAGCTGAGTATTGCATCTATTTTTCTCATTTTATATTTTTATCTTAGGTCTTTAGGTTTGCCTAGATTTTAATATTTATTGCTATAAAAATTACAGCAATTTGTCACAAGGAATAAAAGGGGGCTGTGGAGAGGGCTGGTTCTGCAAAATCTAATAAAAAAAAAATGAAATTACTCTCTCATGTGATCATACACATGAACATTATTCTTTCCATCTGGCCATCATCTGACACTCTAGATTAAAAATAGTGCTAATGGAGAGATAGATCATACAACTGGTTTCATTTTATCATGAAGTTCTGATCCCAAGGGAGAGGTCTCTGGTACAAGGACCCAAAACAACAATACACAAATGCTAAAAAATAGCCACTTTAGATTAGTACCTTTTACATAACAAACTTATTACTTTCATTTGTCAGCAAAATCCTCCTATATCAGTTTTTGCATCTTCACCCTGAGCTGATGTTTTAAATTTGCAATCTGGTCATGGGGTGACAGCAGCGTATCTCCACATAGAAACGTTAGTTGCCTGGTACTCCATTTCACCATTCTGGCCATTGTCAATCTTGGTGATAAAAAGCAACAATGAAATCTGAAACAAAAATTATTTTTAGTTTAGAATGAATTGAACCATAATATTTTAGATCTTTTGATATTAAAAAAATAAAAGAAATTTAGGGAATATAGTTTAGTTTTTATGTACAGTGTAACCCGGATATAAGAGAAACCAGGATATAAGAGATTTTATCTGGTCCCAAATTAGAGCCTGTGTTAACGTATATAAAATAGACCAAACCCAGATATAAGAAACTTCTTCTCTGGTCCCGACAACTCTCTTATATCCGGGTGACACTGTATATGAGATTTCTTTTTTAAGATAAAACGTTGACTATAAAACATATTTTATTAGTCATTAGTTGCTCTGCATATAAATTCTATGCATAGGCAAACTTTGAAAACATTTCTTACCATGTCCCCACCTTCTGTTATTATTTATTTAACTTAATTCTCATTCAGACTGAACAGGAATTTGATAAAAAAAAGATTGCACTGAGACAGTTTTCCAACAAGATGTGCACTCTTATTTGATTTTCATTAGTTTTGAACTTGATGGCCCTGGTGCCAAATTGGCTACATTTAACCTGCACTAATCTGACATTATTGTACCTCAACCCCTGCCCAACAATATATTTTTCTTTTTAAGTTTTGACTCATCACAGATAATAATTTTTTGCTTGATTTTTAAAAAAATTAAATAGACAGATTAGATGTAAAATATTGTTGAAAACTAAAAAAAAAAAAATCTGCTAAGCAAATGTGCTGTAATTTTTCAATCTTTCATTGTATCAATTTATAATATACAAAGAAATTTTCATTTTAGTCATGGCTATTTTTTATTAACTGATTTGTTTTTTAATGCTTTTCAACCTTTTGCAAGGTATTTAAAGC